CCGAGCAGTCGGATAACATATTGCCAGACAGCAGCCATTAGCCCGAGAGCTGCAAAAGCACAACAGGGGGAAACTCAAAGAGATAGAGCGGCAACAAAGGAAGACAGGAGGAAGAGAGAGTGAGGGTTGGAGGCAGAGATGTGAAGGGAGCAGAGCGGAGTGGAGTGTGGAGACTGATTGCCGTTGATCTTCACAATAAACGGGGCCGACAAGCGGCAAGAGCGCCTCTGCTCCGACACTAATTGCCCGTGAAAGGTGACCTGCAGTGAGGCGGAGGCGCTCAGCTCTGATCGTCCTCGCCGCACGACGTCCGCCCTGATAGCACGCGACACCAGACAGCCGAGCCGTCACACCGGCCACCAGCCCCACCAGCTCAGCAGCCCGAACCCATCCACTGGGGGAGACGGAGGGGGAGAGACATACAGGAAGTGAGCAGGACAGGGATAGGAACTCACCGCATTGAAAGAGTGGGGTGAAACAGGAACAGGAGGGTTAGGAAGGAGGGAAAAACTCCTGATGGAGCATTAAAAAACGGGAGAAGAGAGCATGAGACGCAAGGAGAAGAAATGTTACCCCTGGCTGAAGCATAAAACCGATTGCTCCCTAGACATGTTGCCACCAACCAATTCAGCGTATTCCAAAGAAAAGAGACTGAAGTAATAAAACAATATCAGAATTTTATGTGGTAACTGTGTTCAGACTTTAATGAAAATCCTGCAGCTGGGATGTCATTTACTAAAGATCGAGCTAAAAGAGATCATTTAAACGATTTCATTTGCTCTTTCCGGATTCAGAGCTCATAGAAAACATCATAAAATCATCATGGCTCTCTGAAAGTGTCCATCTTATTCTAAAAACTGTTAATTTTTTAGAAAATGACATGAAAACCATCTGAATCCATAACAAGACCAACATGCTTTACTTTTTAACATTTGTTTATATTGAAATTAAGTTTTAAATACAAGTTTAGGACATGGAAGTTGGAAAAACACAAAATAATGATGTCCAGGGAAAATGAATATTAGAAACACAAATAGGACAATACTATACTTAAGTCACTGCAATATTACAATAGGGGTCCCTTTATTAATGTTACTTGGAGCATTATTAAACATTAATAAACAAAAGATCCCTTTATTAACATTGCTGATATTAACTATGCCTTCTTAAGGTTGGGATAAAAGGCTGGGGCTAGTGTCTGCTTAGTAATGCAATATTTAATATTAACAATAGTATTAAGCATTTAATACATTATGTAATCGTTTATTCATGCTTAATAATGCAGTCAGTAACAATAATGAAGGGAGTGTTTATAAGTTAAGAATAAAACAGCAGTTGTTTGCTATTTTTTTTACATTACCCTAATACTCAAATTAGAGAATTGGGATCATAAAAACGTTGTTTTCACCTCATTTTTCTGCAGAATCCGCTTTCCAATGAGTTTTTGTGCCTCTGCTATTTTGAGAATCTATTTTTCCCCAAAGAATATGAAAACCTCCAAAGATCCAATCCTGGCTGTTTAGTCTGTTCAGCTGAAACACAATAAAGTTACAGGATTTTTGTTTGTTTCTAGACGATAAATCTGCGGTATTTTGGCTCAAGTTACACCAAAGGATCCAAGCCCAGACTCGGGTATAGAACCTTTTCTTTTCCCAAGTGAATCACGGCTAGTCTTTTTTTTTTTTACCTTCATAAACTTCAGAATGAAAATATGCATCAAAACTAAAGAATAATAAATTGGAAAAAAAAAGGATGAGCTGAACTACAATATCTTCATGTAACACCCCCAAATGTCAGGAAGCCCTGTTACACTAAGAGCACGACCCAGCAAAGGAGATGGCTTGGTGAGAGATGAGCTCGATGCACAGACGGAGAAATAAAACGGCTAACTGGAGTTTTGCCACAGCTGACAGCTCTCCAATAAGCAGACTGTGTGAGAAGCTGCAGGCCCTCCTCCTCCTTCACTCTTCCTCTTTTTTTTTATTCCGGACACACAATCAGACGCTGGCCTGATTTCTCCAGCTAAAGTCTGCTTTTAACTCATTTACTGGATCGTAAAAGACACATTATAGCATAAGTTTTAACAGATTTATGGTCGAGAAAAGATACGATAATGAAGTTCTTTGCACTAAATCTTTCTCACATGAAGCAGTTTCAGCAGCTTTATTTTCTGCGTTTTTATTACCTTCCAAAAGGAGTCGTTTTGGGGCTCTGTCACTCTACCATGCCCCCTCCTGTCCACCGTTTTTCTGCTATAAGCTGAGATTCTCTTATGTGGGAGGTGGTCTGAGTAGAGCTGCAGCTGCACAAGAGAAAGGTCTATTCTAATTTCCCATTTGTGACATCACAAATGGGAACGTTTTTAAACGGCTTATTTTAGGCACATAATTCCTAAAACTGAACACGGATAAAAAAACAAATAAATGGATTTTTCTCACATTTAAAACATTTATTGAGGTTGTAGAGACTCACATGGTAGCACAAAACGATGCAAAAGGTGCATTGTTTATAATAAATTCACTTTAACCCTTGATTCAAACAATTAATTGAAACTTCTTAGAATAATTTCAGACTACTGTGTTTTACCTTTATGTGAAATAAAAACATTATAAAGAAAGTGTTTATTTTCATGTAGCGTGCAGTTTCTCCACTAACAATCTAAAATATCTACAGTAAAACAGGTCACAAACCCTCAGGAAATACATTTTACAGAGAATTTTTGTTTGAATTGACCTTTTATAAGCTCATCTAATAAATCCCTTTTGTTGTAAATGACTTAAAGCAGCATTTATCAAGTTGGAAACTTCCTGGAGCACTTTTATCATTGATTTCCTTTGGTTTTTAGAGGTAATGAGAGGATAAAGAAGAGAGACAAGCCTGGATCTTTTTACACAGTGGAGCCAGACAGCTGGAGCCCAGTGTGGAGGGTTGGAGGGGGGAGGAGGAAGGAGCGCGGGAGGGCTACATACCATTTTCCCAGCACACATACTGAGACATTGGAACGTCGCGGCCATTAATAACAACCGTGTTGTCATCTGCACAGTCATTGACCCCCAGACCGGTCAATAAGTAAGAAAAGGAAGAAGGGAAAAAAATGTGTTGAGCGTCGGGGAATGAGCTCAACCTGCCGCTGAATACCACTGAAATATGACAAAAATGTGTTTAAAGCTGGAATAAAATCATTCTAATGATATCTGAGCTTGTAAATGCTGGTGTTTTGGTTTCACGTGTGTGGATGCATATAATTCCGTTTGTGGTTAGCACCACCCGTTGGTGGGCCACAGTACTGGATGGATTCTGTCAACACACGTGTGGTTTGTGTTAATTGACCCTATTAATTAAGCAAGCAGGCTTTCTAAAAAAATAAAAATAAAAACAGGCTTTTATTATTTAATTTGATGGTCTGAGGCAGCAGGCTGAGTCTTGCTCTCAGCTGCAAGCATCTAAACAAGAAGATTTTATTATAATACTCATCTGTGTTTGGACATTTAAAGATTAAATGGAAGGAATTCTGATGAACTAATTTTCTCACAGGAAAAAGTCATATTACACTTAATATTTTCTGCATTTACACCAAACATAAAGAATGGGATTTATTAAATAGGCAGGAAAATGGTATGAATGACTTCTTACATGTTATAGATGGCAGACACCTGACCTGACCTGTTACGTTTTTATAGTTCTATGGTCAATACGTAGCTCATGAAGTTCTTTATACAAAATCCCTCTCACCTAAAGCGATTAGCAAAGTTTTAGTCTTGACATTTTAGTCCCTTCCAGAATGAGCTGTTTCTGGCCACGCCCACCCACCCCCGCTCAGGCTGCTATAAGCTGAGAAGCTCTTATATATGAAAGGGGTTCAGAGTAGAGGCACTGCTCCTCCGTCAGCAGCCGTCTCTTGTGCGTGAGAGGTGGTGCTATGCTAATTGTCCTTGTTTGTGACATCACAAACAAGGACTTTTTCAAATGGCTCGTTTTGGGCGTAATTCCTAAAACCAAAACAGAAGACAAACTGACTGTTTATTAACGGTTCAGTTTTTGTTAAGTGTTCTTAAGGGCAGGACGAAGGGCCGGGGGGTGTCTGCTTAGTAATGCATTATAAAGTTAAGCAGTTGTTAATATTTTAATAAATAGTTTATTAATGTGTAAAAATGCACTAGGTAACATTATTGAAGGGACCCTTATTGTAAAGTGTTACCGTTCCACTCTGAGGTTGGAGGAAGTTTTCACGTTTAGCTTTTATTTTGAAATGTTTTCCCGATGGCCTCGAACCACATCCCATATTTTCCTGGCTAAATGGTCTGCTGACTGAAACTTGTTTACAGTTTCCTTCTGCAGCTTTGATGGAGCCATTTTTAACCTGAGTGTCACATGAGAAGATGATCTGTGGCTCCAGTTGATATAATCAAGGTTCTAAAGTTCTCCAGAGTTGCTCCACATCCATGAGCAATCCAAGGGACTTCCTAATTAAGAAGTTCCCACTCAGGGGTTTTTGATGCTTTTTATTTAAAAAAAAGTTCCTTAACTTCTGGAAATCCTGCACACTTTGTAGTGCTGCAGCGTCAACTCTCAAAGTCATGGAGCCTTTTGCTAGTTTTCCCCCTGGAGACCATCCCCAAGATTTCCCTTTGCACACTTCCACAAGACTACAGAGAGTGGCGAGTGATAACGTGGTTTAAGATGCTAACACCTCGCCATTAACATGTGGCCAGTCCTAGCGGCCTCTCATCAGCACCCCTAGGGTTTTCCTCCTCTGAAATGCTCTTTTAGCAGCTCCCTGGCAGGCGAGCGCTTGGCTTTCTAGTTAATTAAAGGGAAAAACACGGCCTTAACTGGTGCATGGTTGCGCCCAGCCTGCATAATGGGACGTAATTAACTTCCCCTCATCGCTACTTCACTTCAAAGGGTCGGTTTTGAGTCAGCCATGCTCATACACACACACACACACACACACACACACACACACACACACACACACACACACACACACACACACACACATACATATATATCTAAAAGATGTGTATGTGCACACACTGAGAAAAGATCCCGATGACTCTCCTTGGGGAGTTGCAGACGAGAGCTTTGACTTTCTGGTAGATTCTAGAAATGAGAAGTTCCAGGTAACTTCTGAGCGAACGTCGTTCGAGAACACACGCCTTCAGATTCGGTAAAGTCTGTAAAATCTGGTCAGTAAAACAAACCTGGTGCAGAAAAAAAAACACCTTTTGACCCTCGTCTCTGTCTCATTTTGGCTGGCTGAAGGTTAAGTTTGAAGGTTACCAAGGATTAAGCCTTTTAGGAGTAAATTTACTTTCATTGTCTAGTAACAGAAAGGTTTTAAAATGATCCTTTTCCCTTGAATGATTGTATTTGTTTCATTATAATAAACAATAATTCGGTTTAAATGTGGAGCATCATCAGACAGCTGTGAAGGTAGAAGAAAAGCAAAAATTATAAATCTAAATGCTGACATCTGCCACAAGCCTTTTGGAGGTGTTCCCGATGTTGAGGCCTTTTTGTTTTCTTCCTCCTAGACCACGTTACCGTGAATTTCCCAGCTGTGAGTGAGCGAGCAAGGCGACGAGGCTCAGCCAAATCGGACTGATGGCCAGGCTCTGTTTGCCTTTCGCTGTTATTTATTCATGTGTTTATTCTTCCTGTCGTTTCCCCCTCTCATCCAGTGCCTTTCTATCCTCTCCTGTCTCTCTCGCCGCCGGCCAGCGAGGAAACGTTGTCTCGTTACATCAGGTGTGATAGGAGCACACCCCGGCTGTGTGTGCGCGTGCAAAATGTTTTCAGAAAAAATGGAAATTTATTGTTTAAAAGCCAGAAATTCTAACTATAATAAATGTGTTCTAATGTATTGTAATGTACAACACTTACAATCCTAGTTAAATATTAAAGAAATCAGATTTCTAAACTCCTTAATATGGAAGCCCATTCCTGCCACACTGATTAGAAAAAAAGAAATCTTTTATTAATGAGGTAGCTAAGTCATATTTCTGAGTTATTTTTGTCAGAGTGGCAGGAATGGGCTTCCATATTAAGGAGTTTAGAAATCTGATTTCTTTAATATCTAACTAGGATTGTAAGTGTTGTGTGAGCAAATCACAAAATTAGGCTGTCTGTGGAGAACAAATCAATAATTACAAAGTCAGGGTAGCTTCCTGAACAGCCTAACTTTGGAGAAATGGTTTATGCTCTGCAGGATTGATGAGCTAACAGCTAGGCTGAATGTGGATGAAAACATTTCAGCTACGTAAGGATTTTTTTAAATGTCAAATGAGCAGCTTTGAAACTTATAAAGAAACCAAGGAAAGCTGGAGTTTTTTATATACAATATTTTCTTCCACAAATATGAACATAAAAAAGAGGAATGAATAATAGTTTTTCATTTGGGGCTCGGTCAAGTGACATTGTGTGTGTGTGTGATTAATTTTTTTGTTATTTTATTTTTGTCTTTCAGAGCTTCCATAATTTCAGAAGGCTGGAGCGGTTCCAACATGGCAGCAATGGGATTTGGCTGGGCTCAGACTAGTCATTAGCTCATCAATCCTCAATTTCTTCATTTATCAGGTAAGATTGTGATTTAAAACAGGTTCATGGGGATTAAATGTACTTTAAAAAGAGCTGAAATATCCCTTAAGGGATGTTAGTGGCTGCTTATGGTCAAATGGTTGCTCACAGCAGGGGGGCTGGCCCGTTCTTAGGATGGCTCTTCCTTGTTCAGCAGTTGTAGTCACCTCTCACACACTTTTATGTGTAAAGTCAGTGAACCACACACACGAACACCCCCATCATGAACAGTTGCCACGTTGCCGTCGTCCCTGAATTTACATTAGTGCTAATTAGACTGGAAAAAATGATTGGCTGCTCACAGCATCGAAGTAAAGAGAGCCCAGATGCATGGAAGCACACACACACACACACATATGGGCGTTTGCAAACACAAAGCCCTGGTGGACAGTAATGCTTTGGGGCGTGCCCCATCACACCGTGTCAAGAAACACACCCCGGCTGAATTTGGGTTCCGTCACATGCGATGTACTCGCCGTCATACAACCTCACACCCCTCCTTCCTGAGTGTACGAATCCATAAACCTCCAAACCTCCCGCGTGTGTGCATTTAATTTCCCCCACACCGTAAGCTGAATAACCCCCCAAAGAGGTTCTACGGTCCTAAATCAGCCGTGTACATGACACCACATGGTGCTCTAGTCCTATGTGAACTCAGGCCTGAAAACGTCTTCTAAAACGCCGTTTTTGATGTTTTTATTGCACATAAGGTTGAGACACATATTGAGTCATATCCCCACAGCCTTTCAGAATCAGAACCAGATCCATCCAAAGAGGCTTTAATTAGCATTTAATAAAAATAATAATAATAATAATAAAATCTTGTAATAGAAAGAAGTACCTAGGCTACTGGCCACTCTTACAACGCTAGAATTTTTTTTAGATTTACTTCTCAATATTAGAAAGAAAGTTACCAGTTAGTGCTCGCCTTTAAAAGATTTCCTATTGCAATTTAAATAAACAATCAGTAAACTTAAAAAAACACGAAATGACTGTAAATCGGTTTTAGTGGTGTCCAGTGGGTCGTCTTCATCACTTTGAATGGAACAAACTTTATTATTTCCACAGTGGGGGACATGCACTCGTTACAGCAGCACTTAGAGGACAGGAAGAAGAATAACAAGTTAACAGGAAACCACACAAAGGCAGTCAGCTGTTATCGTTACCTTCAACCACTAAAAACATCAAATAAAAGGAAACTTGGGCCTCCAGAACCATGCAGCGTAATCTAACCTTCCTACATGATTGAGACGGTTTTGTGGTTTTCACTGTGGAATTCTTACATTTTGCACCTTAAAGTACAGAAAAATTGTACTTGAGTACAGCAAAAAAGTACTTGTTACATTCCGTCACTATTCTGATCCAGTCCTTGTTAAACTGCGTCTCTGTTCTTTCTCTACATTTTGATTTCCCGGCTGAGTTATTTTGTGTTGTCTAAACAAAATGGGACAAATAGATGAAGAAAACAAGATCTGGAGCTTAAATGTCCCTCAGCTGTTTTACAGCTTTTACACTGAGGTCCTAAAAGTGGGCGAGATCTGCCAGGAGAACCGTGTTCACCACAACACAGATTCATAACCTTACTTCATTACTTGGTTCAGAACCTCTGCGTTCTTTACCGTTAGTCTCACACCCGTGTGCGACAGTCGGCGTGATCATTTGAACGCATCACAAGGTCAGTTGTTCACAAGTCCTAAGCGTGTGTATGTGTGTGTGCGTGTGCGCGTGTGTGCATGTGGGTAACAGGAACAGCAGCTCAATTTAAACACTGCTGAGCCACTTTTTTCAGACGAGAAGGAAATTCTCCGACGTTGTGTCAAACACTCGCCTCACTTTCCTCCCAGCATATTTTTATTTCCTTTTAAATCATTTTATTTCAGGAAAACAAGCAACACACCAATGACTCCGGCGCTAGGAGAGAGCGAGCTCCGTCCCAAAATCTTGTTAAAGCGCTGGATTATTCATGCGTGTGTAAAAACACACGGCCTCGCTCACAGTGATTACTAATGTTTATGTGCATTTTATGCATTGCAAATTTCACACCATCTGTGTGTGTTATTTGACTTTAGTATAATTAAAAAATAAAAATCTGTTGGCTCTATTCTGCAAAACTCAGAGCACATATGATAGACTAACTGATAAAACATGTTTGAGGGGTCCTCGGTTTGCTGTTTTAAAGTGGTGTCATTAACAGATGGAACCCACAGTTAGGTTTAAAACAGAATAACATTCGAAGTTTTGTTCCGGATTGTTTAAGATGAAGCATTTATTGAGAAAGAATCTCTCGCCTCAGTGGAAAACTCTCATAATGCATCTGAAGAGGAACAAAAACTGTTTTCAATTTGGCTCCACACCTCCCGAAATGTTCTAAGGTATCTATCATCCCTCCAGGAGAAAGAAAAAAGGAGGAAATCGTCCAATTTAGCAAAAGAAGGACAAGTGAGAGGAAAAATTTGAAGGCCCAATTACGAGTAATTACCTGTTTTCGCTCTGGACATGATGAAATGATTTGATGCCTTTCAGAGGGTAGTCTGGTTTAGCTCAACGCAGACATCTCCCTCTGCCTCGCCTTAGTCATCGTCGGCGGTTAACACGATCATCTGGTGGAGATAAAAAGACGGGACGTTCAAAAATGGTGGTGCTAGAGTCGGATCTGCAGATCATTAATCACAAGAGGTGGTACAGTGGAGGGATGTAGTGAGAAAGGGCGTGCCACGACTGCCGCTAGCTGTGACCAGGGCTGGAGTAAAACAAAAACATGGAGGCCAGAGGGGTGAAGGGATCTTTTTTCGCTTAAACACTTTTTATGAGCGCTTTAGAGACGTAAACTATGTGGGAACAGCTGCTGTCACAGCTCGAACAGGACATCGTCACAATCCCTCTTCCAACGGCTATACTGTAGAAAGGTGGGAGGACGATGAATATCTGGCTAAAGCTAACACTCGGTAGCATTTTAACTACTTTCATAACTAGGGTTGGGCATCGTTTGATTTTGAACGATTCAGATTCCTCGTTTCGATTCCGGTTCCCATCGATTCCCGATTCCGATTCTTTCAAGACATGACATGTTTTACATGAGCCAGCTAACCAGAGGTCCTACTTGATGAAATAATCTTAACTTGAACATGAATTTTTATTCTATGAACAACAACATCACCTTCATTTAGACAGAATCAAGTTTTGTAGAAAGAAAGAAAAAGACTTGCAGCACAACCAGTGTGTTTGTTTCTGACCACAACCAAAGTCTGGAAGAAGCCTCTGGGATGAGAGGCTAAATGTCTCCAACATATCCAGAAACGTCCAGCTGTTTTTAGCTAAAACTCTCAGGATGATCATGTCCAGCATGACTGAGAACTACACCTCCATGCTGCAGCAGCATTCAGTCAGAACAGAAAGTGAAACTTAAATGTAGCTGCTGTCAGTAACAATCTAACAGATTTTAAACATTAAAACTCAACAGAAATAGTTCAGAAAGGAAATTAAAATGTTCACAACTTTGTGTGTGATTTATTATTATTATTATTATTATTATTATTATTATTATTATTATTATTATTTATTGTGGCAGAAGCTGGTGTGGTCCACCACAGAGAAGCTTCTCTAGCCTGACGACTTAAATTATTCTACAGGTTATTGTTCAGCCTTCTGACGCTCACGTGTCTGACTGCTGACGCTCCGTGTGTGTTTTTATTTCTGCAGTGAGACAAACTCACCTCACACCGTCCAGAGTTTGTTCTTTAAACCTTTTATTAAATCCACCTTGTTGACGTATTTTAACAAGTTTCCTCTACGCTGCAGGAGTTAAAGTTTACATCACGGAGTAAAAGTTCGGCAGACACGTTTGTTTATATCCGGGTGGGGGAGGGGGGACTCGGTGGAGCACACAGACAGCCGGTGTGATCAGCTCTGAAAAGCGTTGATCACAATTTGCAGATCACGTTTATTTTTCACAGAGATCGGCCGCGGATTCCTCTTCCACCGGCACACTAGGAATCGAAATTAAAAACATTGAGCGATTCCGGGAAAAATGAACAGATGGAACCAGTTCCAATCGATGCTCGATTCTCGAAGCCTAAAGGCTCATCAGCACCTTCATGGTAATGACGTTGGTCGTGTTTTGTTGAACGAGGTGGGACACAATCTTCTACCAAAAATCAGACGAAGAGCCAGTCGAAGCCTTTAAATCTCTCATCACCAAGCCTGGGTTTCAGCTCCTACATCAGACAGGGAAACACCAGGTCTTCATGCACTGAAGTACAACCAAAGCTGATTTCATGTTCCAAGCATCGCTCTTGTAGCCACAAATGGAACTTTCTCTGGTTGTTGGTACAACCACCGGCTAAGCTACATGTTCTCGAGCTGTGCAAGTACATTTTTGGGGGTAAAATAGTTTTTTAAATCCTCTTCGAATGTTCAAATAAACGAGAAACAAAACTTCACAATGCAAGCCGCCGGCTATGCGCTACTTCCGGCATCTCGCCAGATGTTGCTGGCATCATCGTTTCTACAACCCAGGAAGACGGTGGATTTACTCTCAACGGGTCATAGAGAAACTGTTATTTGGACCTCAATTATCACCGTTGTAGTAGAGCATTTAGTTAGTCCTACCATCTAGATCAATGGTTTCAAAAAAGTTAAGCTTCAGACCCACAAAATGGCAATTGTCAAGACATGACATGACTCTGGTTTGACAATAGAAACATGCTTTCCAATCTAAATAATTACTGCTTCAGCTCATTTCCACTTATATCCATTCATGACAGTTTAGTTGAGTTTTTCTAACAATAGCTACAACAATTGTGTGTCAATTTCATTTTGAGTTCTGGAAATCATCTCTAGACACCCTGTGTGATTCTTGGTGACCCAGAGTGGGACCCCAACGTTTGGGAACCACTAATCTAGATGATATTTGTTTTTATTTTATTAATAGTTAATAACTAAACAGTCATTCTTATTCTTTACCTATCTGCTTCAACAATTTATTTACATTGATGTTTACTGTGAACCAAATTACACAGCTCATCAAACCTGTGATCATCTTTAGTTTACAATTAAAGATCCCGGATGAGCCCCCACTTGTAAATAAAATACCTTGGACAAAAAATAACTGACAGACAACTCCTATTTTTGACAGAAGCAGGTTCTGTTATTGTAAAATAAGGGTTTTGAGGTGGATTCCAAACACACACACAAAAAAAGACTGAAATTTTGAGAGATTTTGGCATTTAAATTGAATTAATCAAATGCAGTACCTGGTTTACGATCTATTTCCAAGATAATATCCTATTCTTCTCAACTAAAGAGAGTAGTGTGACACTAACTAAACTAGCAAAGCAGTAAACTATGGTTATGTAAGAAAATAATCATACACTGAAGTATTGCAATATTTTGTTATGAAATCTGATCAATATTTAATAGTAGTGTATCAATTGTACAGAAACCATTTCTACAGTTTTGTTCTGGGGCTGGTTTGCTGCATCGGCACAGTGTCTTGAATCTGTGTAGGGCACAATGAAATCTCAAGACTATCAATGGATTCTAGAGAGAATTGTGGTGGCTGTCAGAAAGCTTTGGTCTCATTCGCAGGTCGTGGGTCCTGCAACAGGACAATGACCCAATAGATACAGCTAAAAACATCAAAGTTCGGCTAAGAGGAAAACGTTCAAAACATTCTAAAGTGGCCTTCTATTAGCCCTGATTTCAGTCCTATTGAGCATCTTTGGGAGGAGCTGAAACATGCCATGTGAAAAAGATGTCCTTCAAACCTGAGACGACAGGAGCAGTTTGCTCATGCGGAGTGGGCCAAAATACCTGCGTAGAGGTGCAGAAGTCCCATTAACAGTTACAGGAATTGTTTGATGGCAGTGATTGCTTCAGGAGGTTGTGAAACAAAATATGAAGTTGGGGGAACCACAATTTTTGTCAAGGCAACTTCCATGTGTTTTTAATTTTTAAAAATAAATCCGTTGAATTATGTTTGAAAGCAATGTTTGACTTTCATTGGTAAAATTTCATAGAAATTGTATTTAGTTTGTCTCAATTTCTGTGACCACTGTGGGTTTTCTGTCATTGACCGAAGGGTACCAACAATTTTGTCCACGTCTGTGTGTACAGTTTTCTATTCTGTAAAACTCAACTTATTTTATTTCTCATCTAGTCTCGTCTTCTTCCGCCTATCTGGGTCCTGGTCGCGGGGGCAGCATCCCAACTAGGGAGTTCCAGACCGTCCTCTCTCTGGCCACGTCCACCAGCTCTTCCGGTAGGACCCCAAGGCGTTCCCGGGCCAGTTCAGGGATCCAACGTTTCTCCAACGTGTCCTGGGTCGACCTGGGGGGCCTCCTGCCGGCAGGACGTGCCTGAAACACCTCCCTGGGGAGGCATCTAGAAGGCATCCTAACAAGATGCCCAAACCACCTTAATTGACTCCTCTTGATAAGGAGGAGCAGCGGCTCTACTCCAAGTCCCTCCCGAATGTCTGAAGTCCTCACCCTATCCCTAAGGCTCAGCGTCAGCTCCGAAGATGTTTGCAGCAGCAAACGAAACCGTCAACAAGGTAAAGAAAAACCTTATCTGTGTTTAAAAAAGAACAAAAAATGGCATTAGAAGTCAAACACAGCAAGAACGTACAAAAGATGTTTAATAGAAAGATAAGTGACGTCAGTGGTTAAGAATTTTCTATCAGAAAACCAACAATAAACACAAAAGAGCTCTTTTCACCCACAGAGAAGCTATGAAATAAAAAGCTACTAGTTGCGGGGGGGGGTCTGTGACCCCTCTTACACCTCAAATAACAACAAAAGCCCCTGGAGACATGCTGAAAACATCTGTCTGTCAGAGAGCTGCAGCTTAAACACACACTGGTTTTCGTGTGTGTGTGTGTGTGTGTGTGTGTGTGTGTGTGTGTGTGTGTGTGTGTGTGTGTGTGTATAATACCCACACAAACACAGAAACACACCACTCCCTCAAACCAGCACCTCCTGCTCACTCCTAATGCAGCGTCTCAGCATCGACACATACAGTTCCAATCCACCTGGCCGTTTGATGGCTCACACACTCGCCCATGACAATGCATTGATTTAGACTTTTTTCTTTTTTATATATATTCCCTCCCTCCCACTTTTCTATCTCCGCTGGACGCGCAAACGGAGCAGTGTGGAGAAATCCATTAAGCCGACACTTCTCGTTTCCGTTGACTGACGGGCCTTGACGGGCTTGGGCTTTTGGCCCACCCGCTTGACTGGCAGCTCGACAGTTAAACAAGCCCTCCAGTTGCTATAATAGTTTAAAACACTTTCAATTACCCGAGTCAAACAAATCCAGCAGACAAGCACTCCTCTTCGAGCAATCCCACACCGCAGCAGGTCCCCCACCTCCACCCCCCACCCCCACCCCACCCCACCTACCGTTCAGTTTGTCTGAAGATTGCAACAACAGCGTGAAAGATCTGACAAAACAAGAACTTCTGGGCATCTTTCATATTAATCCTTTAAACGCGCCTTTGGCTGTTTCTACAAATGCACTGCTTTGTTTCTCTTAACATGAAATAATCTGTAAATTTTATGGATTCAAAACATTTTAAATATTGACTAAATAGTTTTAAACACTGAGAAATACATAAATGTCTCAATTCGTGGAAATCTTGTTGTTAATCTTTCGTCAAATTGTCATGAAAAGCCACCAAAAGTAGATTTTCATACAAGTTATGCCTGAAAATTCACTTTTTCATTGTCTTAATTAAACATTTAACTGTAATCCCTAAAGGTCAACTTTACTCAGATATTCAATACATTTGCAGGGGTGTCTAATGGGAATGAATTCCTTGTAGGTCGTTCTCTGGAGGGAAAAAAGGCCCGGTGCACTTGTTTAAACATGGAAAATTGAGCCATATCAGGGGAGAGCGTCAGTCGTATTTGGTTCTTATTTACTGATATTCAGGAAATAGAAGTTAGCCAGAGCAGAGGAGAGCAAAAGACAGCAGGATTTGGAGTCTTCGTCTGTGATTGGCTAACAGCACCATGACTCTACAACTGACTTTATTTACTTTCGAACGTTGATGTTTTATCTCCACAAAGAGCACAAGCCAGAAGGAGTTCTGCCATGTTGTGGAATTGCTAATGCTAACGGAGAGCTTCTGATAGTTTAAATGCTCTCTGCTGTTTCCTGGACGCTAAAACAGCAGCAGCCTTCCCCGTCACGAGTCAAGATGGGTGAGTCCATGACTGTTAAGTGACGGTGTGATGTAGATCTGTCAGGATTTTCAAATCCTAGAGTTTCACCGTCTATTTTCTATCAGAAGCTAATGCAGGAGATAGGCGTAGGACACTATTTTCATGTTCAGTGTGCATATAAAACTCATGGTGACTGACCATAATCGGAAATAATCAATGAAAAATGTTTTCCAGTGAAGTTGACCTTTGAAATTTTGTTTTTGTTGCTGCTTCAGATTCATTAATGGTTACTGTTCATAACTATCTTGGGATGGGTACCGAATTCGGTACTTTTTAAGGTACCGACCGAATTCCATAGTACAGACCGAGCACCGATTCACGTCATTTCAAACGGTGCCTCGTTTCGGTACCCGTCCATCATAACGAGAACTTGCCTAGACAACTGCGCATGCGCAAGAGCGTTATGTCGTCGGTCGCTGCGAGCCAGTTGTAAACAGAGCAGCATGGTAGAAAGAATGCACGCTAAAGCTTGGGTCCACTTCACTAAATGTGATGGGTAACTGGGTGATAATGAAACCAGCGACAACGATCTAAGTGAGACATCCTCATCTTAATCTGCTCGGGTAGGTAAATAAAAAGTTTAAGATAACGTTAGCTTGATATGTTAGCTTCCGTTTCGCTAATAGTGTGTTCGCTTTCTCCTCGGAACTCCGAATTTCCGACCAGAAGAACATGAACGCGCTCTAAAGTTTGGCTTCACTTTACTAAATGTGACGGGTGAAGACGAAACCAGTGACAACGATCTAAGTGTGAGGCATCATCGTTTTAATCTGCTCCAGCAGTTAAACTGTTTAAGATAACGTTAGCTTTGATATGTTAGCTTCCATTGCCACCGTTGTTATCAGCTAATGGTGTGTTCGCTTTCTCCTCGGAAATTCTAACTTCCCAGTAGGAAAAATCAAATGAAAAAAGACGGCAAAAGGAATGAAGATACACAGTAAATTTAGTTCACAGTAAAGATGTTTGCTTCAGTTTAATTATCAGCTTATAAAACTACAAGGACGATGTTAAAATACAAACAGTTGAATTCTATTTATCGTGATATTTATCAAATATTGTTATATATTGAGAAAAATATATATTTAATTATAAAAGAGAATTAAAATAATAAACACTCAAAAGTATCGAAAATTGGTACTGTTAAGTACCGGTATCGATTCCTAGGTACCGGGAATTAGTACCGAATCGATTCAAACGTCAAAGGTACCCATCCCTATAACTATCATAACGTGTCTCTTCTTCATCTACTAGCTTCCCTTCCTCTGGGGTCCCCCAGGGCTCCACTCCTGGACTTTTTTATTTTACTTTTTTTACCACTTTTTCAATTACTTAAATAATTCAAATTTATGGTATTTTAAGTTTATCCCCTTGAAAAGTTAGTCATTTTACTCTGACATCTTTACTGCGATCCCTGTAGTTTGACGTTATCAAGAAGAACGGCTGTAGCTCCCGCTCCCCTTCTGGAGAGTCGACCTATAGAAGCTATTTTTAACCAGGCTGTAAACATGTTTATTTCTGCTGTGAAGTTGACATTTTTTACATGGGGGTCAATGGGAACTTGCTCTTTTTCTGGAGTCAGCCCCTAGCGGATAAGAGGGGAACTGCAGGTTGTGTCACTTAAAGCTTCTTTCCGGAGTATTTCTCTTATCCGATGGCACCATCTAGTGGCTGACAGGCATATTACACAAAAACTCAGTTGCTCTGTTTATTTTTCAATTCAATTTAAGTTTATTTATATAGCTCCAAATCACGACAAGAGTCGTCTCAAGGCACTTCACATAATAAATTTTAAGATGGCGACTTCACGTTTCTTGTTTACTTATGTCCTTCTAGCCGACAAACAGCTGAAACACGTTGTTTTACGAGTTTTATTCTCATGTCATGTTGTGTTCTCATATATTTATATTTTAGAGACTTACTTGTCCGTGAAAAGTTCTTCAACTCTCCATCAGCCGAGGTATTCTTTAAAGTTGAAGCAGGTAAGCGGTAGTCTAACGCTATTGGTTAGTTCTGGTCGGCGCTCAGTTTCCTATTGCGCGGAGCTCTGCGGGGCAGGGGCCGAGCTTTGCAAATAAATAAATAAATGACGACATATTGCTTAAATTATATCACAGTACATGATGAGACATTCACTTTTACGGATTTCTGACAAATCATAAATAATTTGTGAAAGGGGGAAACTCCGGAAATCAGCTTTAAGGCAGGTGGAGTTTCCCTCGGTTCACATGCCATAAAAATGGTAATTTCTTTCCATAAATGTGTCGAATCAGCATTATAACTAACAAAAACTATTTTGAGATAATAGGATAAGAAAAAAGTCTTGTGCGATCAAAATGTAAAGATTTGTTGCATTTTATCAGACATGAACTGAGTGTAGTCGTAACAAAGCATGTTGAATAAAATGGTTTAAAAACTGATGTCAGATAACAAACTATAATACAACTAAATATGTGTTAGTAAACTATTTATTTCTCTAGAAACACTTGAATAGTGCTTCCTGGCTGTGTCTACTTCCTGAAGTGACACAACATTTTGACAGGTTGCAGCAGCGGCAGCTTGTGACTTTTGTGTTGAAAACACCGGAGCCGTGGGAGACCTTCCTCGCACACGCCAGACCATAAATGTCACTCTGCTCCTGATCTGGTCCCACTCAGCAGGCATTCACTTTTATGTTAATTGCTGCTAACCAGACGTGCCTGACAGATTACCTTTGCAGCTTCTAACTGACTCCGATTCTTTTATATTCTTAGTTTTTAGCGACTTTCTGGAGCTGAGACAACTTCTCCTACTGAAGCATAATCAGTGGGGGGAAATTCTGCTTTTGTGCTTTGAGTTAAAAGCATTTGCTTCAGATTCATCAACTCTGGGGTCTTTATTACTTATTTATTACAAGGATGCTGTTTTAGAGATGATTTAGAACTGGTGTTTTCTTCATAGCACACAGACCAGCATTGCTGAGCAAACAGAGTCACACTGCTGTTAGCTAACTAGAGGTTAAATGTCTAAAAATCAGGAAATAAGACTCCAAATCCTTCATCTGAAGCTTTCTGGGCATTCATTCCTACTACAGACCACTGCAAATGCGTTAAAATATGAGTAAAGTTGACATTTAACAAATACAAAACATGGCTCTTGTTCGTCTTTGGACAGAAAGCCATGTTTTCTCTTTGGGAGTTATGGCAAACTTTTGGGAGGGGGCCGTGGCAGAGAAAATACCAAAGTCGGCTGGTGAATGATTATTTATTTGGTGGCGTGCGTTTGAACAGGTGTTGTGCCAAAAAGAGCACGCCTTCTTAGATATGCATTCCCTGCTGTGGGAAAGTGC